AGGGTAATATCTGCCCTTACAAGGGAGGTCGTTCAGGCGGTGGTAAGCTTTTTGAAATCGATTTGTTGCATGTTGTAGGGGTCCATACAAGAAACAGACTGATGGGTTCCATTTTTGCTAAACGCTATTGGGAATGTCAAAACAGGAATAAAAACAAATTGCTTAAAATACGCAAGTTTTATCATCCCATTCGCATCTGCTTCAGCTGTAAAGTAGAATATATAGTTTATAAAGTGTTTCTCAACTATACATGAAAAAGAAATTGCAGTGTACCTCACTGTATGCCAAGTAAGGCACTTGTATTTCGACCTTATTCAATGTTCTTTTTCATGTCTAGTTGAGAAACACTTTATAAACTCTATGTATTCTGCTTTACAGCTGGGCAGTATGGCGCTAAATAGCCCCGCCGCGCAGACTGACAATGATGGTAGTACGAGAAAGCCTTTGCACCAAATTAGCGACACATTGCGCCATATTCAAAAATGAGTGTCGTGTTCATGATCAGAGCATCGGATAACCGCCGTAACCCAAGTTTCATGAAGAGTTTTTCGATAGTATTTCGCGAGCGTAATAATTGAGTGAGGCCTATTTGTGAACCGTTCCCGCATGGAATGTGCCTTCAAATGGCGTATATCCGGGTCACACATTATGGGGCATACAGGAATACAAGAAGCAAAAATGTGAAAAATGCAAAAATTGTGTCGGCAAGGGGATCCGATCCATAAACCCACCGACCGAGAGCCCGTCGCACTATCCACCACACCATCTGCCACTGCGACACTAGAGATACAGGACCTGTTGAAGAGATATGCGCAGATGACCGGAAAACTCCAATGCAGCTCACCGCATGCCAAGTAGACCATTTGGATTTTGACCTTATTTTGCGCTGTTTTTCATGCCTGCTCAAAGGATACCCTACATACTATACCCTGCTACAGCTAGAACAGAGGCGAATAAGGTGGTTTAAAAAGCCCATTCTTTTCGAATTGTTTTTGACCTTTTTTTGACATTCCCAGAACCGTTTAGCAAAAATGAACCCCATCGCTATGGTCCTCGCATGGACCCCTACAACATGCAACAAACCGTTTTGAAAAAGCTCACCACGGCCTGAACGACCTCCCTTCGTTAAACGATATCCCCCAACGAAACTCCTCTGTCTGCCGTCATCTCTGCCGATGCTCCTCGTCTCAGTGACTCTCGTCTCTATGCGGCCCTACTCTTTTCGAGCACATGGTGCAGCGCAGAGTATAATGGTTAGCCGCGCGGCATCTTTCCCTTTCCCCAAGCACATATCATTGGGAGATAGTGTGGAAACAGGAAATCTAGGCTAGAAGCAGAGAGACGAACGGTATCAGTAGAAATGACGACGCAGAGTTCAATGTGGGTCTTCTTCTCATCGAGGAGTACTAAAGCTTGTGTCCCTAGGAGCAAGGATTACTGTGTGTAGGTTGACGAGCCTTATTAGGCACCACTTCAGGTCACTCCTATCCCACGATTATTCCAAAAATAGCTTCTTGTA